CCCCGATGGCCACGGAGCCACGTGCCGCGGCGCCGGGCTGCTGCGTGGCGGTGTCCTGGCTGCACGCTGAGGGGTTCGCCTCGCAGGAGCGGCGTTCGGGCCGGTGCTGCCTGGAATAAAGGAATAAACCCCGAGCTGGCCAAAGGCTTGCGAGGCCCCGGGGCGAAGGGCTCCTCGCACGCCTGGCTCTGTGTAGCAGAGCTCACCGGTGGCAGCAGGGCAGGATTTATCCTCAGCTCCTCAGACAAGAAGTTGTTTTTTTTGCACCAGCCTGTGCTGTCATGGCAGCCAGGCAGATTTTCCCCGTTTTGGTCCCCCCACGAAGCAGTCTTTTGCACAGAGGTGTTGCTGCTCTCCCTGGGAAGAGGTGTTGGGGTCCTTGAGCAGATTCCTGGGTGCTGCTGCAGGAGCAGCAGCTGGGATCACATCTCCTCCTGGGGACCCCGACCTGCCGTCACACAGGGGTTTTCCTCCATCAGACAGGTTTAATCCACACCTCCCAGCCAGGGCTTGTGGGACAGAGCTGGTACATGCTGGGACCAGCAGTCCCCACCCAGCTCCCTTCGGTGTAGTGAAGTTGGTCCTGTTTGTCCTCCCCCTTCCTCCCATACAGTTTATGTTACGGTACCAGAAGTTAAATAATGCATGGCCCTGTTCCCTAACACCAGAGATTATTTCAAAGAGGATTTAATTGTGCTCCAAAATACAACGATTAAACAACAACTCTGGCGTGTTTCTTTTTTGAAAAAAGTGTTAATTTTTTTCCCTGCATACCGGGCTCCCTTGCTCAGGGCTTTCTGTTTAAGACGGGCACTTCCTTTGGTTTCCTCCCCAAAGCAGGGGCTAAACCAGCTGGTGCAAACTCAGATTCCCTCTGATCCTCCTCACCTCCACAGAAGGTCAGCAGGGTTCGGCTGAGCAAACTGCATTGGGTGCCCCTGGAGCGGGGGTGGAGGCAGCAGCGGGCTTGGCTGCTTGAAAGCACATGAAAATAGGACATAAAAATACGTGAAAGGAGGCGTTTAGAGTTAAAACTGACCCTGAGCTCTTCCAGAAGGATTGATGGAGACCCTTTGGTGCTGTCAGACCCACTGGGTGGGCTCAGCCGCTCCACCCTCCCCTCCACAGCTCACAGGATTCTCACCCACCAGCCTTTTACCACATTAGCTAGTTCGTTGCCCACCCCAACACCAGGCACTGCATCTCCCAGATCACACAACATCCTAAAGGAGTATTACACCTTTACCCTCAAAATTAAGGCCATCTTCTGCTGGTCACATGCCTGTAAAACCTCCTACACCCTGTGCACAGTCTGGCTACAGCCACTGCAATGAAAAGTGCCATTTCCTTGAAGGAATTCACCTAAATCTGCACCAGAGCAAACACCCTGCCAGCAGTTTCTGCCCAGTTCACTGGGAGCCACAAACTTTGCTGGAAACAAACCACTTGAATATAGGTTTTGGTCAATGGAAATGACAACCAGGTTGCAAAGCTTTCAGTGCACTGCCTTACCTTGAAGCAGGGGCTGATGTTCACAGGGTAGTTAAATATTTTCTCCCTATTTCTGACCCTGGTTGTTCTTCTACCATGCTTTGTTTGAGGTGTCCTACCACAGGGACAGCACCCACACCAGCAGCAGGCAAGGAAACAACCCAAACTTTGGCTGGGCACCTCCCTCCCTTAAATTGCTGCCCCGTTAGCGGGTGCCTGGTCCTGCAGCTGGTGCTCATGTAGCAGAGCTGATGGGGCCGGGGCCCTGCTCCCGCAGGAGAGGGGATGTGGGGTGAAACCTGCGGTCAGGAGAACAAATGAAGGGGGGTAGGAGGAGGTTTGGGTCCGGCGCCCAAGATGGAGCCGGGGATTTCTCCCACACACAGCCCCAGCGCTCTGCTATCTGTCCAGGAAACAAACTTGGGTTTAAATATTGACTCTCTCCTGCACAAAACCGGGATGGGTGGAGATCGCTGCTGCTCTGTGCCCGCGCGGTTTATCAGCCCTCGGTGGAAAACAGAGATTGCCGGGACTTTGGCCTCATCTGCTCCCAGCTGCCAGGGGGAGAAAGGAGGCAGCGACCGCAGCCAGGAGAGGGAAACTCAGGTCAAGGCTGCCCTGACACTCCGCAGGGCCCGGACGCTTGGGTCTGGCAGGATTTGGGGAGCAACGAGGTGCTGCTGAAGCCCTTGTGCACAGGGAAAGTGCAGCTGAGCTCGGAGCGATTGCATCGTCCGTCCCTTTCTCCCTCCAGAGCCGTCCTGCTGA